CAAGAGAAGATAACTCTGCAATACGCAAAGACGGAATATGTGACTTCATAATGCACACAAATAAGCATGTTTATGCTGCATATGATGCGTGCAATTGTACACTTCAAAGATCTTTCGCCTTGTTGTTTCCTACCAAACATGTAGGTGAAATTTGGTACTACTAGTTGATCAATTTAGTGGAACGGAAAAGATACGGAACATTTGTTAGTGCACACGTAGTGAACAGGGAACTGCACTAGACAAAACATTGGAATGCACTTCATTTTTAACTCCAGTGCACAACGATGAGAAGTCCAGTTCACTACATTGTTTACCCAAGTTTTAAAGACTGAGGTACATGATTCAATAATTGTTTATAATGAAATGGGTGTCCGCACAATAACATCATCTTCACTTATAGAAACAAGTTACTTTCTTCTTCAAAATTCTTTGATCAAGTAGTCTATTTAAGTAAATATTAGTTATATCAGCAGTGTATGGCTTTTTTGATCAGTTTAAAAATTGTATAAAACGCTAACTATATTATCCCCTTGACCAACGATAGCATAAATGCTGGAATCTCTAACAGAGTCAGTAGATGTTTTCGAATGGATAAGGAAGAAAAGCATATCTTTGTATGACACTAGCGTAACCATAGTTTGATGTTCACACAAATAACAAGCTTTTTTTCTATTTTCGAAAGTCATTGGAAAATAGTGTTCTACTTACGAAAATATGTCATATAAGTCCAATATGGCCTGTTTGATATCTTTTGTTTAGAAATGATATAAAAGACTTACTATATTATCCCTTGAAACAACGGTGGCATAACTGCTTGAATCCCAACTAGATGATATCTTAAAAGATGAAAAAGAAAAAAACATATAACATATGTGTCGTTTTTGACGACGCTATATACCATAATGTGATGTTTAAATAAAGCAACAAGATTCTTTCTCTTTTCAAAATTTATTGTGAAAGTTTCTACTTACGTAAACAAGTTGGTTGAGCAGAATATGGCCTGCTTAATAAGTTTGGTCTAGAAATGATATAAATGACTTACTAAACTCGAACCGGAACCAAAGTTTTGAAAAAGAAAACATGTTTTTAGGTAGTAGTGTATAGTAATGTACGGTGACCATGGGTGATATTTTTGTACAATGAATAACCCATATAATATTACATGTATCAAACTAAAAAGAAAAAAATATAGCACTAAAATTGGCATATACATGATGAAGTGGACTATGTGGGCTTCATATATTAAAAAGAAAAATCGGATTGTTTGAGACTACATTTTTGGCCATTTGCAAATCTGTGTCTACACAACAAAAGCTAGCTTTTCATGTAGTCTATTTTTTTGTACTCAGCGCATGTGTAAATATTGTGAAAAATCCAGTTGAACGGCCTATGCTAAAATGTGAGTATTTCGGTTACCGAGTAGGTGATATTCAATTTAAGACGGGTTTTATGAAAAAGATTACTACTTGCGTGGGTCAAATTTTGGGTTAAAAATCATGTTTCTTTTGCATTTTTTGTATGTTTTGATGTGGTAACCATGGTTTTCACAAGTCCTGAACCTGAGGAAATCACTTTTTGAAAAAAAAATCATTCTTCTAAAAAATATGTATTCAAAACATTGTTTATATATATATATATAAAAATAAAATTATGTAGGCGTGTTGTGCAGGATGAATCCGCTATCCATGTTTATCCAAGACATGCCCCTTATTTTTAGGATCAAGCCATTTTTACTGTACTCTGCTACCTCTGATAAGTGACCAGGGGGTTTGCGTGGCCTGTCCCGGACACAGAGAGTCGATCTGTAATATTATGCACGACCATTATGTAAACATTTCAGGACTTATTTGAAAAAAAAAAATGTTCATCTGCGTTTTTGTATGGGACCGTGCTGATATGCGTGTCGATTCGTCCTTGATGAATACACATTTGAACTAAATTCTTACATAGAAAACCATACATCTACAATGTAGCTAACATATGGTAGCATACTTCGGAATCAAGGTCGTGTAGTTTGGAAACGAAATAATATTTATTATTCAATCCATTTTTCTATTTAAATCAACCACGATTGTCATAGCATACCGTTTGTCTATCATGCAAACGACGATTGTTATCATTAATCACCCATTATTTCATCGTTCGTGCATGGTGCGTACATCGTTCACACGTCGTGCGCACATTTTGTGCGCACCGCATATAGTGTAACGTTGTGTGATCCCACACTCTAGCAGCACATATAACACTAACTGAAGCAGGAATTTATTCTGTTTATATACGGTACATAAATTGAAAGAAGTGACACTACAACGATACACTGGAGAAACACAATTTTATAAATTATGAAATAAGGGTAGATTACAATATTTTGTATTTATATTTATTATATCTTGTTTGCATCCGCTAAAGAAGTTATCCAAACACTAAATAGAGTTCAATTTGTGATTTATGTTTCGACAATTTGCTCAAGAAGATGTACCGTTTGGAACTTAGGGGCAAACTTAAAAGATTGGAGCGCACTACATTGTTACCTCCAGAGCATAATGATGAGAAGTCCAGTTCACTACATTGTTTACCCATGTTTTAAAGACTGAAGTACATGATTCAATAATTGTTTATAGTGAAATGGGTGTCCGCACGATAACATTAACTTCACTTAACAAGCTTTTTTCTTTTTTTGAAAGTCATTGAAAAAAAGTGTTCTACTTGCGGAAATATGTTATATCAGCCGAATATGGCCTGTTTGATATCTTTTGTTTAGAAATGATATATAAAAGACTTACTGCATTATCCCCTGGACCAACGGTGGCATAATCGCTTGAAGACCCACTAGAGTCCAATGGTATCTTAAAAGAGATGAAAAAGAAAAAAAACGTGTCGTTTTTTACGACGCTATATTAACTTAACGTGATGTAACTTAAGGTGATGTTTAAATAAAGCAAAAAGATTCTTTCTTTTTTCAAAAGTCATTGTGGAAGTTTTCTACTAATGTAAAAAAAAAAATAGTTGAGCAGAATATGGCCTGCTTAATAAGTTTGGTCTAGAAATGATATAAATGACTTACTGGACTCGAACCGGGACCATAGTTCTGAAAAAGAAAATACAAGTTTTTAGAATCACTTTTAAACAGTGAGGAAAACATTCGTGCTCCATGAATGCTTTTGGGCGGTTTTCGGCCACCCCACTGAGGTTGGCGCGGGGATTTGGTTATATTTTGGTTGTTGTTTCTACCATGTGTGGTATGTTTACAATTTCTTTCTATCAATGTGTTCTTCAGGGCAATTAGCAGTTTTGATAGAAGCAACAAGGTGGCTGAATTAGTAAAATAAATACAAATGTCAGTCTTTGAGTGGCCTTTTTATCATTGAAATTTCTTATTGGAGTTATTATTGCTATTAGTGGAGAGATATAAAATGCAGCTTAACAATTAGCCTATTGTATGCTCTTAACACCAGCACAAGTTTTAAAAAATTATTCTAAAACGGGTTTTGTATGGGTTTTTATAAAGTCAGTAACATTAATATTTCACTTTTGTAGGACAAAGCACCTTAACAGATTCTGAAAAATAACAAGGTTATTGATTAATTATTGATGACTTGAACCGAGTTGCTGCCTCTTATTTGGTCTGAGCGACCTGAGGGTCGCGTCCCTTGACTAATTCGGCAGCCATCTTGCAAATCGTTAGCAGCAGATCTAGCTTGTTATTTAAAGCCCACCCAGTTCCAACCCTCTGTATTTCTGATCCATAAACAAACAGGAGTGTTTTGGCAAACCCTATCATAGGTACTAACCTCGTCTGTCAATACACTCAGGTTATAATGAGTGTATTGACAGACGATGCTAGTACCTGTGCCCCAATTAGGCTAACTGAGGTTGGTGCACCTTGGTATTGTATGGCCATTATGTAAACAACACTGGACCTGTTTGTTAATTGCGTTTGTATCGATCTATAGTTTTTCTGTTTGAAACAATTCAAAATGTGTGAGCTTCCTTTCGAGAAAAATTCGGGGGTCAAACAAAGTACAGCTGGGAGTTTCATTATTTAACACCCTATTAACAGCTAAGGTAATTTAAGGACGTGCCATACATGGTATGTTTGTGTAATTGACTCCTTGTGATAGCAAGGGTCTGATGTGGACCTCATGGTGCCATCTAACTGAAATACCATGACGATGGCACCCAGCAGAGCATTCCGCCCCGTCACATTATACTGACAACGGACGAAGCAGTTGTTGTCATTAACCTAAATGCTAAACGTTAAGCAGGGAATAATATCTACCATTTTTGAGGACTTTGGTATGTCTGGGTCTAGGATAGAACCCATTATCCTCCTCGCCTGGGCGAATGCGAATGCTCAACATTAAAGCCAAAAGTGAGGTATTGCCAAGCAAGTAGTGAGAAATATAAAGATCCAAAATATAACAAACGGTACAGCATTTTCAGATTTGGTCGCTTTAATGTCCCCAAGTTGAGGACACAAAAATAAATGCACGATCTGCAGGTGAACCCATTAGTCGCCTCTTTACATACAATGCATTGGGGGCAGGGATGGACAGTTAAGGGCTACCTGACAAAGGTAGCGTAAGATCGCTAATTCAATTCTCGTCAGTGACTTTAGTTTGGTTTGGTTTGGTTTAGTATTGTTAACGTCATATCAATAGCTATGGTCATTTATGGACGGCCCCCCTGTGTGCAAAATGCATGCGTGTGTGTTTTCGGAGGCTGCGATATGTTTGTGTTTGTCTCCTTGTGATAGCGTGGAACTGATGCCGACTTTATAGTACATTCAACATAATTCTTATTGAATCCGTTTTGAGCTAATCTGTATTTAAAGATTTGTATCTTTTACAAATATTTTTTTACATTTGATTGTCTCAGTTGGAATAACTTAACAAGTTTATGGTATTTTAACTTGTGTTACAGCAGTAAAATGAAATATTCACAATTTCTTTCTTTTAAACTGAAAAGTTTTATTGCATTTTAAGATATTATGATTTGGCTCAAAATTAGTAATACTGCGTATACAAATGTAACACTTCACACCATCTTTTAACATTTTATAACAATCTACAACTATAAAATATGCAAATCAGGTACATTTGTAGATGCTGTAGTACTTATTATGCTCTCTAGCTGATTTAGGCGCTTACAAGCAATTGCTCTTAGAAAACAGTTGTATCACCAAACAGCTGTTCATTTTTATTTATTTTTTCATCTTTATTATATTTCATTGAAGTTACAGAAGGTATTGGTTTCTTCACAGAAATAATAGATTAAAATAAAGGTATTTTTGGCCACAAGAAATAAAGATTTTCAGTTAACAGAGTTTGGCGAAGAATATTTTTAAATAGAGAATTGTTATAGGGACTAATTTAAGACACCGAAAAACCGCCTGCATGTATGGTCAAAGGCCATTCTTTACACAGGCCATACAAAGCCAGCAATTAGCAACATCCTGAATTGAAAATGTATATTACTCAAATAGAAGAGTTGCAGATATCCTTAATTGTGTCCCAATTTTAGCTCGCACAGTCCAATTAAAATAAAGGACCAGGGCGATTGTATTTGTGCTGTTCAATGACATCTGCCTGTAATCTGTCAACTTTTGAAAGTAAACTGAACTTGACTTGAAGCATTCATATCGATGGATAATGGGGATCCAAAAATTGTACAAATAGAAGGACTTACCTCCAAGGAGCTGAAGGTGGGTCTAAAAGAGGTTATTACATGGTGTCACACTGATAAAATACTAGCCGCTTCCTACCGATTCGGCTAGGGAGAATTGCTCTTTAGCTCATTCGATAGAGCGTAAGACTAGTAAGCCAGAGGTCCCGGGTTTGACTCCTAGCGGAGGCAATGAAAAAAGGACCTCTGTTATATTTGAAATGGTTGAGATTAACCTTTAACAAAATTACTGAGGAAAAAAAGAGACGAAAACAAAAATAATACAAGTATGCATGGCCCAACCATGGAAACTCAGTCCCTAGATCATTATTTTGAAAAATACTGAGATCCTGACACCTCGCAACTAATATCTTAAAGCTGGGAAACTCACAAGTATGCGAGACGGGAGTGTTACATATGGAATTTGTAGCTTGCAGTCCCATTCTTGCAAACAGTACTTGTCAAGGTTTTGTTCATTTTCTTTGTGCAGACACTTACAACTCATGAATTAAGCTTTGTACCACTTTGCTTTGTATGCAGGGCATAGTGAGCATGCTATATTCATGATCCTGGTCTAAAAACTATTTACTTGTTATACATTTTTTTTATTCAACTTTTTGTCTAAGCTATAACTTTTTATTTAGGTCAATCTTACATCACGGATTGGCACATACTATTATAATCCGTATAGAGTTGACCCTGCAGGTAGGGCGTACGAATTTTACCTGCTGCCCCCATTGTATGATCGTAAAAGGCGACTCAATTTAGGATATTATCTTTCCTTTTCTTCAAAACAAATTTGTTCTTCCTAATGTCTCCCTTAATACTGTCTCACTTTTGACCTTTAGTTAAGCTTTCGCCCCTGTGAGGAAGGCTTTTGGTTCTGTCCCCTGGGCGAGACACACCATAGTCTTTAAAAATGGTAGTTCCTTTTTCTGCTTAGCGCTCAGTATTGTGGGAGTGGGACAACTGGTTCGCCCGTTGTCAGTATAATGTGACCGGGCGTGGTGTCCTGCTGGATTTCTTCGGTATTATGCTTCAGTGAGGTAGCACTATAAAGTCGTTATCAGTTCTGCGCTATCACAAGGAGACAAACACGAAAATATCACAGCCTCCCAAAACACACATCCATTCACTACACGCATGCATCTCGCTCACAGGGGAGTCCTTAAATGACCATAGCTGTTGATAGGACGTTAAACAATACAAATCAAACAGAAGTCCCCCAAATCCCCGCAGTTGAGTTTGCAGTGACAAAATACACCTTTATACCGAATTGGAATGAAATCAGACAATATATAAATTTTGGCTAATCAGAGGCCGTGGCGGCCATCCTGGTGTAAGGCGGAACGAGAATAATAATAAGAAGAAGAAGAAGAAACGGAGTAAAACCGATAAGTCGCCCACTTCATTTGGGGGACTTAATAGTTATAAGAAACTTTGTTTGGGGGACCTAATAAGAAACAGACCAAAAACAATATTTCCCTGAAACTTCGTTTGGGAGACATACTAATAAGAAATAGAGTGAAACCAATAAGTTCCCCACTTCCTTTGGGGGACTAATCAAGTACTTATTGTAATGGGGGATCATTACAGAAGTCCCGCAAACCCCCCGCAGTTATGTTCACAGTGCCAGAATAGACCTGCATATGAAATTTGAGCAAATCGACCAATATTTAATTTCGATCAATCAGAGGCCATGGTGGCCATCTTTGTTAACCGATCGGAAAATAAAAGGTCATTTGCGGCAGTTTGTTTCAGTGATGTAGCAGTATTTAGTCTGCATCAGTTCCGCGCTATCACAAGGCGAAAAACACGAACATATCGCAGCCTCCCAAAAAACACGCGCATACACTACACGAATGCATCTTACACGCATGGGAGGCCGTCCTTAAATTACCATAGCTGTCGTTAGGAAGTTAAACAATACTGAACCAAACCAAACCAAACCATTTGCTCACCCCTTAACATAATGGACACTTATGTATTTACGACGCACTTGCCACAAATTTCGTGGAACACCCGATAGTGATGGTGAAGATATTGACAATCTAGTTTTTGATGTCATAAACATTATGTCATGGCCGACCTACACGACATTGACAGATCACACAGCCATCACCCGGTCGCCCTAGGGATATACTAGTACGGTCTATCCCATACCGCACTAGAGCGGCAGTGTATGATGCTAGCTCCCAACGATGATAAAAATAAAGAAACCCGTTTCGATCTTAGTACGCCACCGTCGAACAGAGCTGGACACCCGGGCCAAAGGATATATATTAATGAAGCGCTCACTAAACAGTGCGCAATTGTATTTGCTAAAGCCAAACATTTGAAAAAGTCCGGCCTTATTCAAGGTCCATGGACCCTTGATGGCAGGCTTGTCATACGCGATATAAGTGGTGTTTATGCACAAGTCAC